AACATAAATAAACGAATCAAATCTTGTTTCTCAAGCCACTATAATGGCGTCCATGTTATCCCTTAATTTGTTAGAATCCCTTAAACGGTGCTCACAAAAGGGTTAATAGTGATGTGTATGGAAGATATTCTACGAAAACATTTTCACACCATCAATAGCTTTCTTTTTATTGATCAATAATCAAAATACCACAAATAGAATTAAAATTACAATTTATTTATCAATGATGGAAAATAATCATGGAAGTTTTCTGGAAGTGTCTTCGGCTGTGCATAAAGAATAATGTGTTTCAGTTTTGTACAGTTGGCACTCGCAGCATCACTTGTGAAATTCTCTGTCGCATTTCTCAAATCTTCATATAGAGCGGATAATTTGTTAAGACATGGTAGACGTGTGTTTGATTGAAAAAGAAATTGTTTGATGTAGTCAATATGTACACGATTGAGACTGAGATACACAAGATGAGGATACTCAATAATTGAAGATGTTTGTTTATGTTCATCTTGTTGGCGTGTCAACTTCTTCTTTTGTCCGTGAATGTTGATTACGTTCAATATATTGAGTAATGGAAAAGCTTGAGAGATTCGAGCGAAGAAATCGTGTTCGAATGGAACAAAGAAATCATATACTTGCAGTCTGCGAACACTCATAAATAGACCACCAGGAAAATTGTTCGAAACGTTAAACATATACTCCATAGTAAACGGAAGTGAGTAAATATGACATTGATTTAATTCTCGTGAATAACAATCGATATAACAATCAACATGATATCCTTTTTCAATGAACGTACGTTTAATATCATCGGAAGATCGTAGTAATTGTTGATTATCTTTGACATCTTTAGTGATGATATTGAAGGTAAAAGTATGCAGATGTGGCATTTTACAAAGAAAACCATTATACAACTGAGTACCATCAATAAATGAAATTCGCTTTAGAACAATAAGAGATAATGTAAGTTTCTTCAATTGTGACATTTGACTAAGAAGCGGTACAATTCCGATATCATACTTATCCGTTCGATCAGTTGAAAATAGCGAGAAAACTTTTAGATTCGATAGAGTTCTCTACAAAAAAAATTTAAATTAACAGAGAGTAAGTGGTATTGCATTGACTATGGATTCAAAAACAGGAATAATTAGCTATCTCAACAATATTATTTCAATCGTTTTCTCTTTATTCATCACATCTCAAATTAAAACTCGATCAAGTATATGAATACATAGTTTTATATTATAGGCAGTGTTTTATACAGGTTTTTTCTCCCGGAGGGGCGTTTTGAAACTCCGAGGGGGCGAACACTTCTTTTCGGGAGGGCAAACACATAGTTCGTAGAGCAATGACCACGAGTCCGAGGGGGAGCGAACTCACTTTACGCCCCCCCCCCCCCCCGGGCACCCCTCTGGATAAAACACTGATTATAGGATTTTCTCATTTAATAAAATACTACACTCACCCTCAACAATCTATTTCTCATTATTCGATTCTTGTAGAAATCGAAATAACAAAGCTCTTTCGTTATGATTCGAAATTCTTTACCTTCTTACGAATTCTCATTGATAAATCATCAATGTTATCAACTTTGACAATAAATGTATGTAATTGACTAAGACGTCCATCAAGTAAACAAAGACAATCATCAAAATTGCGCACCCTAACATTCAAATGACCAATACGTGATGATTGACATGTTGTCGATAGTAATTTAATAAATGATGTTGGTGGATACACAAAACTGTCATCAAAGTTAAAATCAAGATGAATCAAATTTGTAAACATAGCAAGAATGTTAGCAAAAATATTTGTGGCTACATCTTTTATTCGTATAGCTGTAATATCATCATTAATTGTTACAACAAGATGTGAAATCTGATGCTTATAGATATGAATAAATGATCCTTCTAAATATATAACAATAAATTAATCGAATGAGTTTCTTTATTCAAAGATTGAGAAAACAGATAACATACTATTTAAAATACGAGACGCCATTTTAAGTGAAAGATTAACAAGAATAAGTTTATTGAGTTTAGGATAATTTCCAATGCGAAGAATTTGATCTGTTGACAATGGACCAACAGTAAGACATTCAATATTGTATTGAATTCGAGGTATTATATCAAAACAAAATCGATCAAGTATTGAATTAGTTCTTGACTCATTATCTTCATTCGATGATATTGTTACTAAATCAACAGATCGTGTAAATGTACAATCCTGAGCCAATTTATCGAGTTTTTGATTGACTCCTATGAAAGAATATAATACATCGATCTTGTTGAGTTTGTTGAAAATGGTAAGCAAAATCTCGTCGCATAGACCAAGGATATTAACTGTTGAATAGTTCATGTTCAATGAGAAATGTCGTAAATTTCAATCTATATATACGTCTATATCCATTGTAACTTATATTATACCAGACGTCATCAACAATGACAATGTTAAACGGTTGGACGGTAAATATCGTGACCCGTCTTTAGTTCGGTCATCAATCAATAATGATTGTTATACTGTCTCTTCCAAGGCTCTCGATTGTTTTTGAGAGTGGCGGGGGCTAAAATTTTTTTTTCTTTTCCCAGACACTTCACAAAAACTTGGCAGACAGTCACTTATTTTTGTGGGAACTTCCCAATTTTTCATTAAAAGTGATGCCGGGGGGGGGGGGGGGGGGGGGGGGGAGTAGCGCGACGAAGATACCTCTACCCCCTCCAAGGCTACGTAAAATCTTCGGAAAAATTGTCTGAAAACAAAAACTTTTCACCGCTAACATTATCACGTGACCAGTCGACTGCAGCCTTAAAATTAAATTTCGCAGACTATATTACACATTTTTGCCAGACAGTATTAAAAATTTTTGCAGACATGCTTAAAAAATGCCGGGGGCTAGCCCCCGCCACATCGTGGGGCCTGGTGGAGTAATAAGGCCTGGTCTCTGCTCAGAAAAAAGTCGTTTCATTTGGCCTACCAATATCCCATGTCGATAGGACACGCTAGTGACACATGTGCCTAATGTGTGTGTGGGCACCGTTTAAGGGATTCTAACGAATTAAGGGATAACATGGACGCCATTATAGAGGCTCGAGAAACAAAATTTGATTGGTTTATTTATGTTATAAATATAAACTCTTTTATCGTATTATGATTCATTGAAAAAACAGTGAAAGTATCTCCGTTTGAAAACTGTACTCAAGAGAGAACCTGAAACTAAAAGTCCGATGATGTTTATTTCGTCCGAAAAAATTTAAGAAAGAAATTCTGAACAACGTACAAAAATTTGCAACAAATCTGGAATTGTTCTAATTATGCATAAAAAAGAACTTTGTAGAATATTTGTTAGAGCTAGGCTCTTTTCAATTCTGACTTTTCTTTCGATGAATGAAAGCCAGTTGACAAGTGGTTTTTTTCGTTATTATGTAATAGAAAGCGTTTGAAGTATTCTAACGAGACTTAAAACCTGTAAGAGTGTGATGCCTATCGAACGCGTAGATTTTTCAGGCGCCACGGCAACTAAACAAGTGAGTGAAAAATGAAGAAAATATTTGCAACACAAATAAAATAGAAAAATAATCTAAGAAGATTAGTATCATTGTGCGCTGAAAAATGTTTTTCTGTACTTGACTCTATGAAGGAAGATCAGAATAGAGACTTGTGAAAGCGGATTTCTAGATTTTTGCTGAGAAGAATGAATTTCTATTTTATTTTATGCATTGTTTAAATTGCTCATTTAAAGTTCACCAGATCACGAATTGTTCTTTAACAATGTTCTTGAGTTTGTGTTTTCATTTCTAAAGTAACACAGAATCTGACTCTGTTAGTTCTGATTTGTACATTCCATAAACAATGTTTATCCAGATATGTGCAGTTTACAATTATCTTTTAATAGAATTTTAAAAAATCAATTCAGCCATGTGGTAATAAAAACTAAAAATTGGATGTCAAATTTAGATACCATGAAACTGCAACGAATATTCAGTATCAGCCAGCAGATAGTAGAAATTTAACTATGAACGAAGAAAATAAGGCAATTTTTGATATAACAAGAAGTTTCTATCAAATAATGTTCTTGTATTATGGCATGTAGAGTAATGTTAAATATAATTCAATTGATTTAGTGAGAAAATTCAATAAATGTTTGATAAAAATTCCTAAGATTCTCATCATATAAACAAATGATATTGAGATTTTCCGAAAATTCAAATTGAGTTTCTGCCATTTATCAATAATAGCAATTTA